TATAAGTATTCTGGCAGTGTGGAAAAATGCTGGTAATTAAATTAAAAATTAAAAAGAACAGAATGATGTACACAAGATGATTGTAGCTGTGTCAAAACAATATGCATGGGTTACTGCTAATCAGTAGATTGACTAAGAATAAATCCTTCTGTCTACTGCACGTAAAATACACTAGCTAGTGTAATTATGAATGTTTTTCTATTAGAGAGCTTTTAGTAACAGGAAGGATGTGTTGAGTACCAAATGACTGCAGCAAATTGTGGTTTGGATATTCCTTGGAGAGGAAGAATGTTGGGGGCTGAAGTGGTTAGAAAAAAATTTATATCAAAAGTGAATTAGCTTTGGAGAATGGTTAAAAGTTGAATAGCTAAAGAGGAATGGATGCAGGGAGATGGGAGGCAATAAAAAGGAAAAAAAGAGCTCAGTGTGAGAGAATTTGGAAGGGAATATAGCTAGAGGGGAGGGTTTAAGGGGGAATAGTATGAAAGAGAAATCTGAAAAAGCAGGTTGGAAAATCTTAAATGCTAAACTGTGAACTTTGAGATTCACTGAGATATACTAAGATGTAAAACCTGTACTGAACACTCGCCGCATGCCAGGCACTATTCTAAGTGCTAGACATGTGGAGGTCATGCAACTCTTACAGTAAATGAGGCCCGGGGAGGCCAAGTTTGCCACAGGCTCACCGTTAAAAGATGGTAGAAGAGCCAAGGTTTAAATACAAGAAATTTAAATCCAGAAATTATGCCCTTAATCACAAACTGCTCTGGTTCTAAAGTCCATGGTAGATTAAACAAGTTTTAAGCCCAGGACCACTGACCTTAAACAAGTAATATACTTCACCCCTGGAGTAGTTTTTCGTATTTAAGATAAGAAAAGTAATGTGACCAGATAGTGACACCCCATTCCTATCCCTGCCACCCTTTTACATCTTCAGGACAGTCAAGGAGAAGTTAAGGTATTCGTGCTAATGGCTTTCAACTCTGCCTACTTTTCTGTACTTACCTGGTTCATTGCTCTCAGTTAACCCCTACCCTCTAATATCCATTATAGTTATAGCAGTCCATTGTTAACCATAGTTCAGTGGTTCTCAGAGTGTGGCTCCTGAATCATCAGCAGAATTTAGGAACTTGTTAAATGTCCCAATTCCAGAGCCTCACTCAAGACCTACTGAATCAGAAATTCTGGGGGTGAAGTGCAACAATGTGTTTTAACAATCCCTTTAGCGGATTATGATGCATGATGAAGTTTGAGAACCACTGCTCTAGTAGACTCCCAGGTTTCAGTTCAGGAGCAAACTAACCTTTTTTGGCAGTACTAGTAGTAATATTGGGAAACCATTTGGGATCTTACTCTTGAATTTATGCTGTTGGATTTGCAGTCTGACTTTATAGAAGTAGTCATGGCTTGCTAAGTTAGTGAGCATTTTAAAAGGGCTTTTCCTCAGACTCTTTGATTCTTAGTAGTTATACTTTGTAAGCATACCTAGACTTTGCCTTATGACTTTAGTTCATTACAGAGAAACAGACCTCTAAGTGGAAGTTATTAAACCAGAAAATATTTCCATTAATTTTAATGGAAAAAATTGGGTTCCCTGATAACCTAAGGTACCAAAATAATTTTCAGATTAAAGGTCGATTAGCATCTGCCTTCGGCTCAGGTCATGATCCCAGAGTCCTCGGATTGAGTCCCACATCGGGGAGCCTGCTTCTCCCTCTCCTCCCCACTCATGCTCTCTGTTGCTGTTTCTGTCTCCCTCTCTCAAATAAAATCTTTAAAACACACACACACATACACACACACACGTGTCAGCTGAACAATGAAAACAAGTCTGTAAATATTTTGAAAGTAAATAAAAACGGTCTGTACCTAACATATGTAATGACAGTTTGTTGTACTTGCAAAAAGAGGAAGAGAAAACTTGATAGTAAGTGGTGCCTGGTGGAGGAGGGATACAAAGGAATCATTCTTTAGAAGATGCTGGAGAGTCAGGGGTTAGGTTTTAAGGATGGGAATTTGTGGGGCACCTGGGTGGCTCAGTGGCTTAAAGCCTCTACCTTCAGCTCAGGTCATGGTTTCAGGGTCCTGGGATCGAGCCCCACATCCGGCTCTCTGCTCAGCAGGGAGCCTGCTTACCCCTCTCTCTCTGCCTGCCTCTCTGCCTACTTGTGATTTCTGTCTGTCAAATAAACAAATAAAATCTTTAAAAAAAAAAAAAAGGATGGGAATTTGTGGTTATCTTGCACTTAAAAATAGTTCTAGCACACCTGAGCCAGCTACAGGGATACAGATGAAACATAGCCTCTATTAAGGAGCCTGGAAAAGGAGTGAGATGCTCCAACAGTTTACACAAAAGCAAAAACTTAGTTTTAGTTGGAAGCACAAACAGCAAAAGAGGGAGCAACTGGGGAAGCATGTAGACCCCTCAGTCTTCAAACTAAACCTGAGAAAAAGAGTGGGCTCCTGATGGGTGGACATGGTAGCAGGGCCTGCCATGGAAGGAACAGCAGGGTAGAGGCTAGGACGTATAGCCAGGGGCCTGGGAATCCGTTTGAAGCACTTGAAAAAGAAGGGGAGCCGTGCGTGACAGAGCAGTGGAAAAGTGAGCTGTGGGCTCATTTCAGCTGCATTCTGTGGGCACCAGGGAGCTGTAGAAAGTGTTTCAAAAGAGAGGAAAGTATGTTTTAGGAAGAGTAAAATCAATTGAAAAAAAAAAATAGTTACAGCACAGAAAAATACCGTTAGAACAAAAATAAAGGTGAAATACAAGAGTACCTTTGAAACAGGTAGAGCATGCACTCAGCAGTTGGAAAAGTGTAAAGGATGCTTCTTCTTCAGTTTTCTTGCCTGGTGTATGTATGTATGCAAAACAAAATTTTTCTGGTTCATCCAAATGTATGTGATTTATTAATTTGCTCTTTAAATGTTCTTTGACTAAAAAATGATTATGTTGAGTATAGCAGTAAGTGTGTCTATTAAGCATCACTTTTGTTGTATTTTAGGTATGTCTTGATTTTTTTGTCAGGTTGTAATAAAAGAGAGAAAAGAATCATTATCCAAAAAGTAGTTTAATTTTCAAAATATGTTGAAATTATAGCAAAAATCTACCTAGTGATCATTATGTGAGGCAGATCTGTGAAAAGATGGTGTGTTTAAAAACAACTATGATTGAAAATTGTGTTTTAAAACTAGAACTCTTGTCTTTGGTTGCCCTTTGAACTTCAGGAAGCCTATAGATGAGGAAGTTTTTAATTAAAAATTTCGTAGGCTCTCTAATCTCTATCATGTAGCCTTCTTATGTCTGAGAATTTCAATCCATTTGATTTATAGCCTTGTCTATTCCTATTTATATTCATGCTTTGCTTTTTCTTTCTTGAGTCTGAAGGTGGAACAAGAAAGGACCCATATCGTCTGTAGATTTGGGGGGTATTTTACTGTTGCTCTTCTCTTTGGTTTAAAAAGGAGGTAAAGGTGTCTTTTTAATTCAATATGTAGAACTCCAAATTCACATATATAATATTTTATAATACCTTATTTATTACATGTTTCTTAACTTAAGCAGCAGTGTAGATGATTTCTCTCCTGAGTAAAGTTATATGGGAACAAGTGTTATCTGACTCACCTCCAGAAATATACTGCATAGAAAGTAGTATATAGAATGTGGTTTTGTTTTTGTTTTTGTTTTTTGTCTTGGATCTGAAAGATCAGACATTGGAGAAGAATTTCCCTGTATTTTATATTTCTGTAATGGGAACATTATACTTAGCCCCGCCAAACTTGTGTTCATTTTTTTTTTTAATGCCTTAACGATGATAATAAGACATTGAATGAAAGTCCCTTCTAGTTATCAGAGATGGCTGGGATAGAGTTGACATTATTATAAATTTTTCTCAGCTTGTCAAGTTAATTTCCTTCCCACCTCCAGAACGTAGTATAGCCAGCCCTTAAACAATGTAGAGGTTAGGGTGCTAGTTCCCAGCACAATCAAAGAATCTGCATGCAATTTTTGACTCTCCAGAAACTTAACTATTGATAGCCTAATGTTGACCAGAAGCCTTACCAATAACTTAGTTAACACATATTTTATTTGTTATATATTATTATATCCTTTTTTTACAATAAAGTAAGCTAGAGAAAAGTGTTATTAAAAACATCATAAGGAAGACAAAATACATTTACAGTACTATACTGTATTTATAAAAAAAAAAAATCCATGTGTAAGTGAACCCATGCAGTTCAAACCCCAGTTTAAGGGTCAACTATACATTTAAAGTTGCCACTTCATGGCTGTACAACTAGGAGGTACTGAGAAGGTACACACAGCCTGGGATTCTTATCAAGATCATCATGCTTGACCCAAAGATAGCCTCTTTATAAGAATTAAAGTCTGATGATAGGTAAATACAAACTTTGTAAAATCTGATGTTAGTTCTAGTTGTTGCTGTTGTTTTTATAAAATGTAACAGGTACAAAAATGGTCAGCAATAGAGTAGTTTATACCTGCTTGCTTCACATGTACGTTGTGAGCTTGAGAGATCCAGACCTACAGTTTCTGGACAAGAAAGCTGGACGTTGAATTTTGAAAGAATGATCAGTGGTTCTTAAATTTAGGAATAATAGGAATAATTGAATTTCAAAAAATGCAAGACGGATATGTACACTCTGGGTTGTCAGCTATGATTCAGACTAATTGCCTTTATCTTGATAGTCTGTGTATTCTGATATTAAAATTCTGTTGAGAACAAAGCTACGTAAGACCTGACTGATTCACTCTGGCCCAGTACAGCCTCTCTGGCCTTTAATTTCCATATCTGTAAGTGAAAGAAGTGCAGCAAATATAAGGTCTCTTTCAGTTCTAACATTGTGGGACTTAAAAAAAAAAATTAAAAATCTTTTCTAGCCAGAATCTGATTGCTGTTACATACATTGGTAGAGAAGTATTCTGTTTTAAATCACTTAAGCCAAGTAATGATTTTTGAATACTCGTTCTTGTTTTTCAGAAACTCTGTGAAGGCATATTTAAAGTCCTTGTAAAGGATATCCCAACAACATGTCAAGTGTCCTGCCTGGAAGTTCTCCGCATTCTCTCCAGAGACAAAAAGGTTTTAGTTCCTGTAACAACCAAGGAAAATATGCAGATACTGCTGCGATTAGCCAAGCTAAATGAGTCGGATGATTCTTTGGAGAAGGTGTCAGAGTTCCCAGTTATTGTGGAGTCATTAAAATGTCTGTGTAACATAGTGTTCAACAGTCAGATGGCACAGCAGCTCAGCCTGGAACTTAACCTTGCTGCAAAGCTCTGTAACCTCCTGAGAAAGTGCAAGGACCGAAAGTTTATCAATGACATTAAGTGCTTTGACTTGCGCTTGCTCTTCCTCCTGTCACTTTTGCACACCGACATCAGGTCACAATTGCGCTACGAGCTCCAGGGACTACCGCTGCTAACCCAGATCTTGGAAAGTGCCTTTAGCATCAAGTGGACCGATGAATATGAATCGGCCATAGACCATAATGGACCTCCTCTCTCACCTCAGGAGACAGACTGTGCCATTGAGGCCCTCAAAGCTCTCTTCAATGTGACGGTAGACAGTTGGAAGGTGCATAAAGAGGTAAGGTTGAGAAGGATATTCTTATTTACCTATAACTTAATTGGTCTGGGCCATCCCTAGAGCTGCCTACAAAGGAGGAATCCTTACTTACGATTTGTGTAACACTTACCAGAAAAATAGGATGAAGAAGGGCTATTACATTATTCTTGTTTTTTATGGGTTTTTAAATTTTTAATTCCAATTAGTTAACTATGGATTATTATTTTGTAAGGTTGGCAAGTATAGTTCCTTTTCCCAGTTGTTCTATCACCTGCCTTTTTTTTTTTTTTTTTGAGTGCCTCTTTCAGTCACAAGGTTTAAATGAGAAGATTTGAAGGGAAATAAAACAATATGATTCAAAAAAAATATGATTCATAAAGTTATAGGCATTTACAATGATTGCCATCTCAAAGAAAAGATAAGCTAAATTAGGCCAGATAAAATTGATCAATCAGAATTCATGTCTGTTCAGAAGAGCAAAAGATCTTGTGTGTATCCCCTATCATCCCTAGAGTGTTACAGTATGAGATAACTATCAGAAATGTAGGACTACAAGTAGATATCCATACTTTTACACAGTTGAGAAAATACAGTTACACCACAGTTTAGGAAAGGTTTTTTCTGGACTAAGATCCTTTTCTGTGGCTTAGACCTTACAGCAGCCAAAGGCAGATTTGATAGTTTATATCTAAGTACCCACAAGAACAATATGCTGAACAAGAAACTTAGCTTAAGGAAGGCAACAATTTTAAGCAAAATGGATGTAAACTTTTTTCCTTGTTTCTAGAATCTTAACATTTCACATTTACATTCTTTCTTTAACCTTAAATGATGAGTGAAATTGAGCCCCTGCCTTAAAAAAAAAAAAGAAAGAAAGAAAGAAAGCAAAAAAGAAAAGAATAAGGAAAGAAAGAAATGGAGTATTTTGGTGCCAGCGTAAATTATCTTTTATGACAGCTGACTTGAGGACTTAGGCTAGCATCTTGCTGTGTCCATTTGAAGCAGTGCTCACCATGAATACAGATCTGTTTTGCCAGCAGTCTACTTTGAGAGGATTATCTCAGTACAGTGCTATAGTGAGAATATGCAGGCATCTGAGTTTTAAAGTGCAAATAGGTCTATATTTTGAAACCAAATATTTGAAGATCATTCCTAACAGCTGTTTTAGATGACTGTAGTATGGTCAGTTTTTCCTGAGACTTGGCAGGAAAAGATGTGGAAAGCCCACATGCTCCATTTATGCTTTGAAACCAAATATTTGGAAGTATTTAAAATATTATGTCTCTATGCTTATTTGGTCCCTTCTATGGTTATTTTTCTTACACTGTTTGTTTTGGTGTTTTTAAGTTCTCCATTTAGTTGCAAGGGCTCTTCTGAGACTGTTGGTTTGCCATTGTTGGAGCCCCTATTATTTAAATTGTGCCCAAAATAGTAGCTCACACTGTTCCAATTCCTGACTAAAAGGGTTTATTATAATTCAGTGGCCGCACATCAGTATAAGTATGGAATGACACGTAATATATATCAGTAAATTGAGATTAGCCTTCATTAGTTTAATAGTGGGGCTGGAAGAAGCCTTGAAGATGTTGAAGCAGCAGTTACTCATTCTGGGTAATAGAAAGTTTATTCTCCAAAAGATATGTGAGAAAGGACCAGTAGTCCTGAAGCAGGCATCTGTGCAGACCTAGGCCTTCTTGTGGATCAGTAGATAAAGCCATTATAAAAATGTGCCCAGTTATTGTGACTCTGGGCTATTACTGAAGTTATCAGAAATTTGAACGGTATTGAAACCAGGATCTTGCCAACTCATTTAGGCAAGAGTGTGGGAAAGGTTTGTTGTTGTTGTTTTAACCACTTCAGTCTCCATGAGTCTCCAGATTCAAATTTTAGCAAATATTTAGTTAGTCCGTCAATAAATATTTATGGCCATTTACTAGATATTATATCAGCATTGTGTAATATGTTGGCAAATAATAGGCATAGTCTCTGCCTTCAGTTTTGTTGGTAGGATAGGTAATAAATAAGTAAACAAATATATAATTCAAATTGTGTTAAATGCTAGGAGAGAAACAGTGCAGTGATTGCGAATAGTTAGCATAGTCAGGGAAGACCTGTGAAGGTGTCTCCTGAGATAGGATGACAAAACGATGGAACTGTTTGACAACTGGGGAGGTGAACGTTTCTCAGAAATTGAACAGCATGTGAAAAGACCCAGAAATCAGAGCATAGGGAGGGACTCGGAACTTAACATAAGGAAAATCTGTAAAAAGGATGCAGAGAAACTTGCCAGTAAGAGCCCATTTACTTGGATTTTACTAACACCTCGATTGTCAGAAAAATGGCATCTTTCTCCAATCAAACAAGCACCTGAAGATTTGTTAATGCTTGAAGATAGCTACTGAAATAAAAGGACATTGAAAACTCATTATACAGAAGAATCCAACTTTAAAATTTAACTTTAAAAATAATATTATTTTCCTTATAATGAAAATACATGCTCTTCATAGATCTAAGGGGAAAAGTATAGAGGCAATAAAAAAGTGCAAATCACCTATAAAACTACCACTCGAAGATAATCACTGTTTGCATATAATATATACCTTTCTAACCATTCTTCATTGTATAGTATGTAAATATAAACATGTGTAATTTCTTTTTATAAAAACGCAGTCATTTTATAATCTTGATCTTTTTTTCCACAGTAAATGTTCTTGAAGAGTGGTGGTTTTCAAAATGTCCCTTGAAGCCATAAAGTTCCTAGGAATAGGATGAGTTCCAGGTTCTCACTTTCACCCTCACTTTCAAAAGAGCATCTTTGATTGTTGCAGTTGCTGTTGTTTTTTCTCTTTATAGTAGGTAACTAGGTATCTACTACTTTATAGTAAGGTAACTAGATATCATGTGGGGATAAAAAGAGTTCTGCAACCAAAAAATAATTTTTTTTAAAGATTTTATTTATCTATTTGACAGAGATCACAAGTAGGCAGAGAGGCAGGCAGAGAGAGAGGAAGAAGCGGGCTCCCTGCTAAGAGAGAGCCCAATGCGGGACTCGATCCCAGGACCCTGGGACCATGACCCAAGCCGAAGGCAGAGGCTTTAGCCCACTGAGCCACCCAGGCGCCCCCCGAAAAAGTAATTTAACCGCCAATTTATTCTCTTTGTCAAAGGTTGGTAAATCCTTATGAAGAACTAATCTTCATAAGTCCTTTTATACTTAATAAATAATTTTATACGTGAATATTCCTTCATAAAGATCTCTCAACCTTTAACAAATTCCTTATGTGTAGGCATTTAGATTGTTTACATTTGTTTGCTGTTTTACATGGTAATGCAGTGAATTTTCTTACTAGAAAATTTTGTAGATAAATTCCTGAAATTATTGGGCCAAAAGATTTTTTAAAACTCTAAGGGTTTTTGATATGTATTGCCAAACCGCCCTTCAGAAGAGTGCTAGTTTATACCTTTCCAGACCCTGGGCATTTCACCTTTAAAGATCTTTATCTATTAGACAGCTCAACTGTTACAGAAAATATAGATGTTTGGTTTGAGTTTTAACTGTTTTATAGGTATTTTTAATCACTGTTCACTTACAGTTCTTCAAAACCAGAAAATTGATGACTGGGTTTTTCTTGAGGCTTACCAGATTAGTGCCATTTGTCCATTTTAGGTTCGTGCCTCAGTGTTAAATTCCCGCCTGTCTGCTGATAACATCAGCAAATTTGGAGATTCCTTTCCATTCAGTAGGAAATGGAGCTGGACTTATTTCCACACGGTGTCCTTCTGTCTCCCTCACTTCCTCCTTCCCTCTCTGTCTCATACTTTCCCTTTCCTAAAGGTAATGGGTAATGTTTAAGATTGTCAGAGGCTCCTTTAGCAGGACCTGAAGTCAGTTCTAGAAACATTAACCGAAATGGTCTTGTCTTCCTCCTCCTTTAACACTTTGCTAAATCTCTTTGTCGATGGAGTTAAGCATGTTACTGTAGAGATCCCTCACTTAGCACACACTCCCTTCTGCAGTGCTTTCCAGGTTATCAGTGCATTGTGACGAGAAGACACAAGGACCAACAGACATGGTAGAGCCAGACAACCAGGAGCAAACAGAGAAGTAATACAAGTATCTGAGTAGTCAAAAGATGCATTTGAGTCAGATAAAACAGTGAATGTCCATAGGAGTTATTTGGGAATGTCACATTGTAACAGAAGAGGTTAGTGCCATGATTATTTTAGAGACTTGAAAGGGAATGTGGGAAAAGGACATGATATTAATTAAATAAAAATAAAGCTTCAAGCTGTGCCATGTTTTTTTGCTGAATCATCTTTTCAGTAAATATTGAGTGCCCAATATATGCTGAGTTCTACATTAGTCATACAAGATACGAGATGAAGAAAGCATCACTGCCCTCAAAGAACTAACAGTCTAATAGGAAAATCAGACACATGAACAGAGATGGATATACAACTGTTTGTTACATTACTTACTTTTCTTCTCTATATTTTCTGTATGTTTAAAAATAAGAAAGAGTCACCTCCATAATGCACAGATGCTTCAAATACCATATGTTCTAGATCTTTGAGGGTTTATCTGACCTCACTGGCATAGTCTTTCTGCTAAGCAACATAACCCAGGACAGAGTATACATTCAATAAATATTTGTTTAATGAAAAATAAAGTGTGATATAGAGAAATATATAGGAGAAAAAATCCAAACTAAGCAGGGAAAAAGGAAAAGTTTATGATACCTTTTAAAATGTCAAAGCTGTTGGGGCATCTGGGTAACTAAGTTGGTTAAGCATCTGCCTTAGGCTTAGGTCATGATATCAAGATCCTGGGATCAAGCCCTATGTCTGGCTTCCCACTCTGCATAGTCTGCTTCCCCTTCTTCCTCTGCCCCTACCCCTGCTCATATTCTCTCTCTCTCTCTCAAATAAATAAAATCTTTTTTAAAAAAATCAAAGCTGGGGCACCTGGGTGGCTCAGTGGGTTAAAGCCTCTGCCTTCAGTTCAGGTCATGATCCCGGGT